CTGGAAAATGCTGAAGCTCTGAATGAGCTGGGTGTGGTGGCCCAAGCCTGTGATCCCAGCACTCGGGAGGCTGAGGCAGGAGGATCAATGGGAGTTTGAGACTAGCCTGGGCTACAAAGTGAGCTCAAGGCCAGTGTAAACTTCATAGTGTGACCCTGTCTCAAAAAGAGAAAAAAAAAAGTGGAAGGAGGAACAGAGGTCTGTCTGACTTCCAAGTGGGGACCCTGTCCCCGGCCCCGGCCCCTCCCAACCTTGGCTTCTTGTCCAGGCTGGGAGGTAGGCAGGGCTGGGAACATGGACCTCACTTTTCAGATGAGGAAGCTGGAGCCTAGTGGTTGCCATCGCCTTGCCCAAGGGAGCACAAACAGGAAAGGGCAGAGTGGTGCTGGGACATGAACCGGGACTTTTCATGGCCGGGCTGGTGTTTTTCCTCCGTCCCCCTGCCTCCTGGGGTTCCCTTCTTTCTCAACAGACCTGGCTTCCCATCTTCTCTGCATTCCCCTCCTAGCCTGCCCGCCTGGCCCTGCATTCCCACACATGTCCAGAGAGAGCACCCCCTGGACCGTGAGCGGAGCACCCCAGCACTCAGCCCTCCCCAGCTACCTGCCAGGGCTGAGAGAGCACCGGGTACACAGGGTCCCTTTATCCCGGGGAAAGGAAGCCTTTGCCCCTCACCCTCCAGGTCCCGTGATGGCCCCCGAAGTGAACAGGAGGAGGCCGGACACTCAGGCCTCTGCCAGTGCTGTCAGCACAGGCTGCAGAGGGCATCTGGCCGGGCTGTAGCACTTGCAGGTCGTGCCCAATGCCCTGGGTTCTACTCCCAGCACGGAAGGGGTGGAGGGGAAGAGGAGGCGGGGACGGGGGGGGGTGCAAGCCGGCAGGCACTAGGCCTACTTCGTGTGGCACGGTGGTGTGAGGTGCCCAGGCAGCAAGGGAGGGACCGGGGACCTTGCCACGTCCCCTGACCTGGGGAGGTGCTGTGTTACCCCGGTGTCTCACTGTTACGCCGCTGAGGTGCAGCTCCAGCCTCCTTGCCTGGCCCCCGCCCCGCGGCTTCTTGCCTTCACCAAAGACCATCTTGACTTCACCAAGTGCCTGGTTCCGAGTCACGGTGCTGACAGGAATTCCCCTCCAGCGCCAGCTGGAAACCGTCTTCATGCTGCCGCGGATCTGCTGTTTGCCTTTGAGCAAGACCTCCCCTCCCTGGGGGCATCCTGAAGTCACATCTGAAGCAACCATCTGCTGCCCTCAAGGTTAGGATTCCCGCCAAGCCCCTGGCGTGCCCCAGTGGGCTCCAAAAAGAACCAGAAACCTAGCCGGGCATGATGATGCCTGCCTGCTTCCCAGAACTCTGGGAGGCAGAGGCAGGAGGATCACAAGTTCAAAGCCACCCTGGAGGACTTAGCAAGATTCTGTCTCAAAATAAAAAATTAAAAAGGGCTGGGGGCTGGGGATATAGCTCAATGCAAAGGTCCTGAGTTCAATCCCCAGCACCACAATAGAAAGAAAAAAAGAAAAAGAATAGATACCTAGAAACTTTTTTTTAACTTTAAATGCCCTGGTTTTAATTTCTCTACTTAATTTCAGCAGCCCTTAAAAATCACTGTCAAAAAAAAAAAAGGAAAAGAAAATCATTGTCACGAGCTGGGTGTGGTAGTGCACACCTGTAATCCCAGAACTCAGGAGGCTGGGGCAGGAGGATTGTTGTGAGTTCAAGGCCAGCCTGGCCTACAAAGTGAGTTCAAGACTAGCCTGAACTGCAGTGAGACTCTCAAAAAGACAAAAAAAAAAAAGAGGGGGTGCTGGGGATATAGCTCAGTGGCACAAGGGCCTGCCTGGCAAGTGCAAGGTCCTGAGTTCGATTCCTGATACCAAAAAAAGGAAACAAACAAACAAACAAAAAAAGAAAATCACTGTCACGTTTCACTGAGGAAACTGAAGTCCAGAGCCGGCCAGTGACTCACCTGAGGTCACCGCCGGCTGGCTATACCCTGGAGTCTACAGCCCAGGCTTCCTGGTTTCCCTTCTGCTCATTCTCACCCCTCACCACATCCCTTCCATTTCCCGCTGGCTCCTACCTAAACCACAGCACACCCACCGAGACCCGCTTGTGGAAACTGAGGTCCCGAGGTTGGTCTGAGCCCATCCTCCAAGCATTAGGTCAGAGCCGGGCACTACTCTTGGGGCCCTCTAATTTCTATCACAAAGCCTAGCCCGGCAGCCCAGGGGCCCCTTTCCCATCCCTGGAGCATGCGGCTGGTCTTGGGAGAAGCAGAAGGCTGACGATGATCTCAGAGCCCTTCCAGGCACAGCCTTCCAGGCAACTCACGGGTCGCCAGTTCCGATCACGAGCGGAACCTGCGGCAGGCACTTGTGGCAGAAGACTCATTTGTCTACAGCGATTTATTAAAAGCCTCCTACTAGGGCTAGGGATTTAGCTCAGTGGCACAGCGCCTGCCTGGCAAGTGCGAGGTCGTGAGTTCAATTCTTGGTACAGGAAAAAAATTTAAAAAGCCTCCTACTATTGGCTTCTGGAGACATCGGGCACAAATGGCCCCCCCTCATGGAACTTACATTCTAATGCATGAAGACAGACAAAAATAGTTTAGATATTCTCGGGGAAGGATAGAAAGGGCCAGGCAAGGTTGCATTTCTTCATTGAGTGGTCAGTGAAGGTGTCATTGGAGCAGAAATCTTTTTTTTTGCTACTGGGACTTGAACTGAGGGCCTCACAGTTGCCGGGCAGGTGAGCTACATCCCCGGCCCCTGGAGCAGCGATCTTAAGGAAAGAATGAATTTTGCAGACAT